TTCTCCTCCACTCTCCTCTTGGAATCTTGGGCACGCATGCACACACGCCTGGCATGAGTTTAAGCTGCCAGGTCCGGGACTCGAACCGCAGTCGCCTACATGAGAGTCCAACGACATAGCCGTTAAGCTAACTGCTGGTCTCCCTGCAAGCTTGTTAAAAATGCAGAAATGCAGGCCTATCCCAGGCCTTCTGAACCAGAATCCGCATCTTCAGGAGAGCCCCAGATGGTTTGTATAACTTATCAGGGTGAGAACAGCTGGACAAAAATTCCTATTAACCTTCAGAGTTCTTAAGGGCACAGGTATCCCACAGAATCCAAAATGCAGCCTTTCTGCCCCTATTCATGCTACTCAACATTTTCTTTGTCTGGATATGTCTTCTATTATGCCTCATCAATCTGGCAAATTCCTACTCATTTTTCAAAGTCCAGCCCAAAGATCATGTCCCTATTGAAACTTTCCTGACACACTGTGTCATAATTAAATATTCCCTCTTCTCTGTTCCCTTGATACTATACATCTATATCCAGTATTTAATATTATATAATCTTTATATCATATTGTAATCATGTGCTCATGTCTATATCCCTCACAAAATGTGTTAATCAAGGACAAATAAAATGCCTTATGTATCTAGGCAGCCTAGCATCTAGCACAAGTTTTGGAACAGAGGCTCAATAAATGTTACATGAAAACTACTTTTTGATCTTTCCTTCCATTGCTTTAGAATCATAATAGTAAACCTTATACCACCAGAATGTCTTTCTGTTTATCTTCTATTAAAAAAAATAAAATAACTATTCTTGGGACTAGCAGTTGGGGTAATGGCTATGTCGCTGGACTCCCATGTAGTGGTGTGTATGCGCGTGCCCAAGATCCTGAGAGGAGAATGCAGAAGGGATTGCAGTGTGGCCATCCTCTCTGGGGGGTGATTTCTCACTTTCTGTCTATCTGTCTCCCGCCGTCTTCCTGGTGAGCACATGTGCCCTATAGCAAAAATCTGTACCAAAAAAAAAGGTTAAAAATAAACTATTCTTATTATTTTTAGTATGTTAATTTATAGTAATGATTCAAAAACACTTCTATTGGCTTGGAACCAATCTATAAGCCTACAATTCATTGGTATGACTATTTCTGCCCCCTTTCCCTCACGTGTGTACCCCTCTCCCAAAACATAGTATCTACTGCAGATGAAAAGCCATCTTATAGAATCAATATTGTTATGGCTGACTGCGGGTGGTATAATAAAATAAGTTATTCATTTACATTAAGCCTTTTTTGGCATCTCTAATATTTTCTTACAGATGTATAACTGATATTACTAAGTCAGTTGTGAGTAAAAGACAAGAAAATAATAACAAGAAGAAAGTAGAAGATAAATAGTGATCCAAGAGTCACAATAATTAACAACTGTATTATTAAACACACCAGAAAACATGCCAGTAATTATGGGCACTTAACAAAGATGGCATAACCCCTCAGGTTAACAATGAACTCTTGAGAGACTGCAGTCATGTACCAGCCTGCAAGAGATAACACAGCTGGGATGTTCACTGGTAATACACAAGGCAGCTCTAACTGCTCTGCACTGGTCAGCAATGCGCAGGGACTCAGACAATGGGTCCTTTCTGTGTGTTGTCAGCAATGCCTGGCTGTAAGCAGCTCGGGGCCCATACAACTCACTTAACTGGTCCACTGATTAGTCTTAACCACTGCTTATAGTTGCATTTGGTTTTGGCAGTGGTAAATAAGAGAAGCTGTTTAGATAAATGTTTGCTTTCAGAAGTGGCTCTTGCAATATTTATCAATAGGTTAAATATGAATATTCTTTGGCTTAGAATTCCTCATCAATACTATACAAATGCACAAAATGTTAATTTCAGGATCTTATAGGAAAAAAATAGGAAACAATCTGCATGTTCACCAACAGGGAAATTATTAAATGAGTTGTACTACATCTATACCCTGGATATTGTGTAACTGGTTTTAAAAGTAAAGAGAGGTACATGTGTATGTACTGACATCGAAAAATGTCAATGATATAACATGAAAAAAAAAGGGACCAGCAGTTGGCATAGTGGCTATGTCACTGGACTCCCATGTAGTCAACTGCAGTTTGAGTCCTGGACCCAGTGGCTTAAACTCACACCAGGCGCGTGTGCATGCATGCCCAAG